TTCCCTATATTAAAGGTTTGAGGAGTAAGGTGGCAAAATGATTATCCAACTTGATGTGAGTTGACCCATTGTGAATTATGAATTATAGTGGGTTGACTTAAAGAAGTTTTCATTTTTAAGTCTTAAATGAAATTCAAATCCCGCAAAAGTTCATTTTTTTTGGGATTTTTAACATGTCTTTTGCATCTTAAGCCCACATCAAATCATGATTTAATCAATTTAAATATTTTTATTTAATTTAAAATTTAAAGTTAAAATCCTACATTTTATTTGGTTGGTTGGAGATAGTGCAGCTAGTTTGACTTATTTTACCACTTCTAGAATAAAAATTGAAGAAGAGGTGGTGGTGTACGAGACTAGAAAAAGGGATTTGAGTAATTTTACATTAATGAGTTTAATTTCTATGCATTGATTGTGCAATTAAAATTAGGGTAGATGTGGCTTGATACAAAGTGGGGGGTATAAATAGCAAAATGGAAATTGTGAACAGTAATCTTTGGGTACAAACTCATGGGCAAGGCCCACAAAATGAAACCCAAGGTGATGGCCCAGTTTGAGATGAGAAGGAGAAAATGTGGCTGGCGAGAGAGATACGCATAGCATCATCATCATCAGCATCACATACATGCATCATCAGTCATCAACTACTATCTGGGTGGACAAGAGTGACACGCATCATCTCTCTCACATTCTCACAATGCTAACCCTCAATCTCAATGCTATTTCTTCTTCGTCAGTTCTCTTTCTTTATCTCCTACATCGTACAAATGTTGTTTTTATTGTTGTTGTTATTATTATTATACATGTGTGTTTTTGTTCTTTCAGGTTCTCGGTTGTTCCATTTCATGCCAATTATCCACTGTCTACTCAAACTCAATTATTAGTTCCTTCCAATCTCAATTACTCCTTTGCTACAACAGGCAGACACACTCTCACTCACTGTCTTGGCTTCTTCTCTTTGTTCATTTTATTTATTTATCATAATTTATTTACTTTCATGCTTTCTCTGTTGGTTGCAGCAACCAGAAAGTTCAAGTCTTTTCAGCTCAAGGCTGGATTCTGGGAATCAATTAAATCTGGGTACCTTCAATTTTTATTCTCCATTTTGGAAATAAAAGGAAAACAAAAAGGGCACTACACTTGTATTGTACAAATATTGTGCATATTCACAGGAAATTGACCACTCTGTGCCTTATTTTTGTGAAATTCTGACTAGCTGTTTAATTTGAGAAAAAAAAATATTTTTTTTCCACTTTATTTCTTGTTTTGCAGAAATTTGTGTAGGAATTTGTGAATATAACTTTTTATTAGTTCATGTTTTCATGTTCTATTTTCACCTTCAAACAAAGTGAAAACAAAAAATGGAAACAGAAGGAATTTCCAAACACATGGCCAATAACCATTTGGAGTGGTTTCTTCATTCAACTTGCTTGAGCGGTTCTTATATTTTTCATACGACTTTGTTTTTATTTGCTTCGCCTTATTTTGAAGACAAAATCACGTAGAATTGTCAACTTCTGGAAGGGCTTATGAAAAATGAGCTATTGCCAAACATGTACTTCGTTGCTTTGGGAGCTACAATTTTCTCAAATGTTACACATAATTACATATACGCATTTTCCCTTTGATTAATATATACATATATATAGACACACACACACACACATATATTATATATATATATATATATATATATATATATATATATATTTTGTTCCTTGCTATTGAACACTAAGATTGGCAAGACAGTCTATACAGTGTAGCATGTATGATGAATTGATGATTAGTGTATCTCTTATCTTGAAAACATACTTGACTTAGTGATTTGTTCCCCTTTCAGGTTGAAGAAGAATAATACAACACAAGTCATTGATCCACCCTCCACGGATGAAGAAGATGAAGAGCCTCTGCCTCAAGAGTTTGTCCTTGTGGAAAAGACAGAACCTGATGGGACAATTGAGCAAATAATATTTTCTTCAGGTGGAGATATTGATGTTTACGACCTTCAAGCCCTCTGTGACAAGGTGTGTATCTAATCTAATGTGTCTTATGTCACGTGTTGATAATTCTAATTTCTATTGTAAGGCAGCAATTGTGTTATGCTAGTTTTGAAGTTACTTTTCTGCAGAAATTTACACATGCAAATCATATTAGAGGAACTTGTGTAACAACATTAAAGACTTTTTAATCTAGATTGGTCAATTTTCTAGATTATTATTTTAGTTTGTCAATGCTAGGACTTTTTTCCAATGTACATTATTCATGACAATAGTTTTTTAACATCATAATTTACAGATTCAGTTGTTAATTTTTATCACTAAAACTTGAGTGCTGAGACTTAGTTATTTTATCAAGAACACCCTTGGCATAATAAATGGTTCATCTCTTTGATAGGTAGGGTGGCCTCGGAGACCATTGTCAAAATTAGCTGCCGCATTGAAAAATAGCTATATAGTGGCCTCACTGCATTCTATAAGAAAGTCACCTGGGTCAGGTAAAAATAGTATGACATCTGGCTGTTTACTCTATCTAAATTAATTTGTTGGCTGGTTAAGCTTTTTCTTTATTCTTATAGCTATCTAAACCTATTTGATGAACATCTTGGTATACTTGGCGAAGTTATTTAACAGAGGGGAATGAACAGAAGAGATTAATTGGCATGGCCCGCGCTACATCTGACCATGCCTTCAACGCCACCATTTGGGATGTCCTAGTTGATCCTGGCTACCAGGTATTTTCTGTCACCAAACATGAGTTTTGAACAATAACTCTTGTGCCAGTTACTGAAAAAGTTGACTACCAAAAGTGGAATATTCAAAATCTCAAGTTCATGCATACTATAATATTTTTAGTCTAATGTAGTGATCATGATAAGGATTTAGTTAGAAATGAATTAGCAGCCTGGCTTCCATTGTAGGCTGCATGTGTTACTTGATGCATCATTCAGTTTATGGTCAAAGAAAGTTTACCATGTCAATATTTATGCTCTGTGATGTGCCGAGGAAATAAAGGCACTTAAATTTAGGCTATATTTGAATGGATGGAGTGGAGTGGTAAAAGGAGCATAAATGGAGTGGAATGGCCAAGGAAGGGAACCCAAATCATTCCATACCACTTAAACTCTCAATTATTCATTCATACCCTCCAGTTTGAGGAATTTGGAATGGATCACTTCTCCCTTTTTCTTTTTATATGATCATTTACTATTTGAACCTTTTTCTTACCACTCAAACTCTCCTTATATCTTTATTTTAAGCAAGAGTTTGTGGCTTGTCTCCAAAATATTTCCGTTCTGTTAGGAAGCCCCTGTGGAAAATGGAGAAAAGAAAATAATTATTTTATTGCTTGACTGAAAATGTACAGAACAAGGAGAAAAATCTCTCCTCCATAAACGGTAACTCCTTTCACGACTGAGCTCATGCTTGATTCCCGAATGTTAACAATTCTGAATGATGTTTCTTCCCTTACATCTTTCTATTTACTTATCAAACTTTCCCCCTCTAACTAACTGCTTTTAAGTTTAACTACGCCTCTTCTTAATTCATCCCAACAAGTACCCTTTTACCCTTCTCTCCTATCAGTTCTGAACAAATTTTTTTATCTGAACTGCAGAAAATTTTCCCTTTCCATTTGGAAGTCTTCCCTTCACTTGTTTTTCTACCTTTTTATTTTATCATCACTTTAATTTTGATGTGTATATTGTGCAAGTATGCTTTACTGTGTACTTTCACAGCGATGCACATAATTTCTATAATGTTGGTAACCAACAAGTGCTATATTTTACTTTTTACTGTTTAATGGATCTAGACTAACACTTTTGCTTTAGCACAAAACAGACAAATACTTTTATCTGATATAAAATATATTAAGATCTTAAAATTTCTTATATTCTGTCCAAATAACTTTGTATGAAGAACTTTATTTTTTATATGTATTGGGATTAATTCAGATATATACAATTGTTGTAAAGACAAATATTCAGTAACAATAAAATGAGCTATAAAAATTAAAAGGGTAGCAGTGGAAATTAATTTTGCGATTCACTCCACTCATAATTACTTACCCCTATGACCCGCTAACAATAGAGGAGATTTCCATTCACTCCCTCATTAAAAACTTCTAACAATCAAGGGCTATTCTTTACTGTTCCCCTCCATTCTATTTCAAACTACTCCACTAAGAACCACTCTACTTGTTCTCCTTCAAAACTCTCACAAAAACACAGCCATAGCGGAAGCAATTACATGCTTGAATCTGCAATTTTATTGGATAAATTGAAAAATGCATATGGCAATGCATTCAAGCATTCTGCCAAATTGTTCTTGGGCTTGAGTACCTCTTTTTGTCATGTTCCAATTTAAGCTTAAATTATGGTAATATATGGGCTGCAGTGCTGCTCATTGACGCTGTTTGTGTTGTATAGGGCCAAGGCCTTGGTAAAGCTCTTGTAGAAAAACTGATACGAGCTCTTCTGCAAAGGGACATCGGCAATATAACTCTGTTTGCAGATAGTCAAGGTACAGCAATATTAACAGCCTTTATGCATAGTATCATTGATGTTGATAGTTAATTACAAGATTCTGTGCAACATGTCAAAGATGGTCTATCTGTTAAAAGTGCTTGGTTATTTTGTGGGCCTGTGTCATGCTTTCTATGATTTTGTTTAAGTGGATACGAATCAATGTCATAACTCTTAAAGGCCACCTTATAGAACCTTCATTTAGGAATAGTCTTACCCATGTAACTTCCTTAACAAAATTCTTCTTTTACTATCATTGCCTCCAGTCTAGACCAATCCTATTCTTTTGGTCCAACTAAATGCTACAACATTTGCTTCTTATATTCAGGGTTGGCTTAACCATAAGTGGGACTTAAAGCAAATTTTGATAGATAATTTTTTTTTCTTAAAATGAGAAAGGTACATGTCAAAGTTTTTTGTTAAAATATGAGACCTTTTTGTCATCATATGTAGTTTTTTTACTTTATAAAAACTAATGACAAATAATTTTGTCAGTACCTCTAAAGCTTAAGTTTTTCTAGTCTTATCCTTGGCCCAACCTGTATAGATTATCGCCTAATTCCATCCTAGTTGGTTCAAACTTTGGTATTGGTTGGCAGCTTGGAGTTTCATGTTCTTTAATGGTATTGCAAGTGGGGACTTTGAAGTCTCACTAGTTGCTTTTGTACGTTGAATGCAGTTGTGGAATTTTATCGCAATTTAGGCTTTGAAGCTGACCCAGAGGGCATAAAAGGCATGTTTTGGTACCCGAATCACTAATTGGAACCCCAGAAAGCTTGCTTTTGGTTATGTTAACATTGCAATTTGCAACCATGAAGTATACTAGAGAGAAGCAGTGGCAAATTTACCTATTACTTGTAATACGTCATTCCTGTAATTATTATGTTCATTAGGTGTTAGTAAGTTATTCTTTTTTCCAAAGTTTTGCTACTTTTCAAACACGGCTTTGATTAGTATGTCTGCTTTATATTTGATAAACCTGAAAATGGTCAGTTATAAACTTACTGATTGTGATTTATTATATATATACACTAGCAGAGAAAAAAAGGTACTCTGTAAATAAATGAATGTTTTTGATAAAAAAAAGGTGGAAATTATCATTATAAAATAGAACCTTTTTTTTATACACATTTTTTCTTATTTGATCTTTAAAAGATATATTAGTGAGAAAGAAGTTAAAATACAATAGAAGGATTTAAACGGTTTTTAAAAAGTAGACACCAGAGTGATATTTTTTTTTAATATATTATTATAGATTATAAATAGATTCTCATTTTTTTGCTGTTGTATTATATAAAGTTAGCGGTTTACTTATGTTTGTATGTTGAGTTAGTATAAATTTTTTTTAATAATGCTAACCAATCAAACTATTCTTTATATAACTTTTAAATTAATCTATAATATATATAAAAGTGATAGATTGATTTGATATACATATTTTTTATATGATTTTATTTTAAATTTTTTAAATAATAAAAAATAATATTAAAAATTAATTATTCTTTTAAGATTTTAAAGTTTGAAAATAAAATAAAATATTAATTGATCTAACAAATATTGATAATTTTTAAATATTCTTATAAAATAAAATATATAAGCATGAAATATTTTGATTATATAAATTATTATAAAAAAATTAACAAATTTATTAT